ACGTAACATCGACGTCATTTCATTCACTAAAAGGAGACACAGTTGGCAGACCCCCATGCCCCTGGGTCCGAGTGTGTGTGGGAGTGTGTGTGTGTGTGTGTGTGTGTGTGTGTGTGTGTGTGTGTGTGTGTGTGTGTGTGTGTGTGTGTGTGTGTGTGTGTGTGTGTGTGTGCGCATGGTCTCAGTGACTATATTAGGCCAGTCTGTTTCGAGCACGGTGAGGACACACAGATACACACTGTGATGTCACTGTCACGCTGCGGAGGCATGGCTCTACGTCTTATCTGTGTGTGTGTGTGTGTGTGTGTGTGTGTGTGTGTGTGTGTGTGTGTGTGTGTGTGTGTGTGTGTGTGTGTGTGTGTGTGTGTGTGTGTGTGTGTGTGTGTGTGTTACCCTGTGATAACCCTGGACTCAGTGGCACGCAGGGATCCCAGCAGCAGTGACTCTGGTGACAGATGAACTCTCTGCGATGCGTTTAGGTGCCGCTTGAATTTTCCATTACTCACGCTGGTGTTTCTAATTGTGCCCCCATGAATACTTTCATTGTGACGCAGTGGATCACTATTTGGCTGAGCTATACAAAGATATCATAGCTGTCATTGCTGTTGTATTGGTAACAGCGGAAATATTAAAGGGTCATTTGTTGTCATTTGTATCAGTTTTGAGAACCGGATCATTTCACCTTTTGCCAGATTTTCTCTATTCAACACCAAACAAAGAAATCAAACAATAAATATAAAGTATTATATATTGTATTAAAACTAAAATATATTGATCTAATTATTTCCTCTCCAATGATATTACAGATACAATTATTCAAAATATGTTTAAAAACAGATATTGTTATTATTATTATTATTATTATTATTATTATTATTATTATTATTATTATTATTATTATTATTATTATTATTATTTATTGAACAAGAACCGTGCTAACAAATATTCATCTCCAAGAGAAAAGACGATTTACGCCAGATTTAGATATTAGATATTTCCATCTGCAGTTCCTGGGTACACACATATGTACAGTAACTACATTTTCACAGTGTGTGTGTGTGTGTGTGCGTGTGTGTGTGTGTGTGTGTGAATTCAGGGTGTGTATGATAGCAGTGTGACTCCTGTAAAGGAATCTGCTCCACCCGACATCCCTCTCCTCTCCTTTCCTCTTCCTCTTCCCTTCAGAGGTGTGGAAAAACATCTCTCTCTTCCACACATTTATACATACACATACACGCACATGCACACACACACACACACACACACACACACACACACACACACACACACACACACACACACCCACCCCTTGGGCTGAGTGAAGGCGGTGACTCAGGATATAAGAGCTGCGAGTCGTGCCAAGGCGGTGAGGGGTCACACAGTGGAGAGAGAGAGTGTGTGTGTGTGTGTGTGTGTGTGTGTGTGTGTGTGTGTGTGTGTGTGTGTGTGTGTGTGTGTGTGTGTGTGTGTGTGTGTGTGTGTGTGTGTGTGTGTGTGTGTGTGTGTGTGTGTGTGTGTGTGTGTGTGTGTGTCAGGCTGGTGGCAGGGTGGAGGAGGACTTCTTGTGAAACATTCCTCTCTGACCAGAGTTTCCTGTTCTCACTTCCCTGTCCTCCCTCGTTTCTCCCGTCCCACCTCACCTCACCTCACGCCAAAATGACTCCCCCTCCCCTGTGTGTGTGTGTGTGTGTGTGTGTGTGTGTGTGTGTGTGTGTGTGTGTGTGTGTGTGTGTGTGTCTGTCCACGCCCCAGACTGCAGGTCTCCCTCTGTGTTTTCCTGCAGAACCACCTTCCATTATTAGAGCCCGGAAACACCACCTGCTGCTGGCTCGGAGCCGTAAATAATAACAAAGTGAAAGAAGTGGCGGTGACACCTGATTGATGGACAGAACATATATTTGCAATAGTTGCTTAACTCTTAAACCATTTTTGTCATTTTGAAGCACATGCTCTGAACTTTAGGGTCCCTCTTTGAAGCATCTGGAGCCTGAAGAGTAGCTGTGTTGCTCTGTGTGATAGTAACGTGACCATTTGAGAGTGTTTTAAACTGTGATTCTAGCCTTTTTTTTATAGTCGTTACAAGCATTTTCTAACATTTCATGGACGGCCAGCATGATAACTTCGTTCTTTGTGATATTAAACTGAATATTCTGGAGGTTTTAACTGTTACCCTGTCCTTGTTTCTAATTGTAACAACTCTTTTCTAACAGCTCAATCAGAGTAATCCACAATAACACTAATCATTAGTTGCAGCTGTGTGTGCTTTAAGTGTCTTTTTTCCTCTCCACTTTACAAAAGAATCCAGTTTTTCAGGACACACTGACTATTTCCCTTGTACTCTTGCACAAAAATGTCCAGATTTCACTACAAAGAAGGCGCTAAATACAATCTGTCAGGAGCTTCAGTCCAACTCCATCAGCTGTGAGTCCTGTTTCAGCCTCATGCTCATCAACACGTTCCTCCGTAAGATCACAAAGTATCTCCGTGTGTATTTCATATTCTGCGCACACAGTAACAGTCACATTTTGAGACTGTGTCTTTCCACAAAGTCCACAATCAGCCAACTTCCACAGCAGAGAGCTAGCTGAGAATCAGACGAGTGATTTGACTAAATGAAACCCCTAAATTCCAAAGAGTAAACCCACATTGGATCAGAAACATGTTTACTAAACCAATGACACCAGTGACGAATGCTCCCCCATCTCTTATGACTAATGCACGCTGCGTGTGTGTGTGTGTGTGTGTGTGTGTGTGTGTGTGTGTGTGTGTGTGTGTGTGTGTGTGTGTGTGTGTGTGTGTGTGTGTGTGTGTGTGTGTGTGTGTGTGTGTGTGTGTGTGTGTGTGTGTGAGGAATGTGAGCGTGTCATTGACGGAGGATTAAATGGACATGCAGCGGAGTTGTGTTTTCTCAGCAGATGGGTCTGAGGAGGCCATCTGTCTCCGAAAAGCACGAGAAACGAAACTGTGATACAGCGTGGAGAGTGTGTGTGTGAATATACACAGATCTGAAGTCACTTATTGGGTCTTATGCATCAGAAATGTCTCTTATATTTGGTCTATATTTAGTTTTTTTAACTCCAGATGCACTTAAAGTTCTTAACCATCCAAATCTGCTCAATTATTTGTCCTTATGCATCAATATTATTTAAAATGTCTCTTATATTTTGTGTCTTCCTTCACCGTCCACATCTTCTCTTTCCCAGGAGCTAAACGATGAATAGATTGGATGCATGTGAGTAATTGTTGTTATTAGCATGGGTAACGCACTCTAAACTCTATATGAGAGCAGGTGTTGTGCCGGGTGCAAACGCTTCAGCACATGCCCAGAGATTTGAGAGATGACGACAAATAAAGTATTCAAAAAGTACACAGTTCAGAAGTGAAATGAAGGTATTGCTGGATACATTTAAAGAAGGTAACTGTGTGTTTTTCTGCAGCATCAGAACAAGCCGTATAGGAAACATCTCAAAGCAGTATGAAACGTTTTTAGACACAAACAACAACAACCTAAATGTTATCTGACTCAAAAAGAAGAGCAGAAATCATGCTATATAATATATAAAAGAACAAGCTGTAGACTCAAACAATATAACAAGAGGAGATTTGAGCGTATATCTATTAGATAGTTATGAGTGTTTGTATTGTCCTACAAACAACAACAATTTGTGGACTTTGAAATTATTACAACTTGAACTTTCATTGTTTCAATTATTACAACTTGCTTCTCTCACATCGAAACTGTGCAAACATCCTGAGCAGTTTAACTGGACGTTGCGTCTGAAACCTGCATGGTCTTTGTTTCCCACCCTGACCCTCTGAGAGTCTGAGACCCTGACCCTCTGAGAGTCTGAGACCCTGACACTCTGAGAGTCTGAGAGTCTGAGAGTCTGAGAGTCTGAGAGTCTGACACTCTGAGAGTCTGAGAGTCTGAGAGTCTGAGAGTCTGAGACCCTGACACTCTGAGAGTCTGAGAGTCTGACACTCTGAGAGTCTGACACTCTGAGAGTCTGAGAGTCTGACACTCTGAGAGTCTGAGAGTCTGAGAGTCTGAGAGTCTGAGAGTCTGAGAGTCTGAGAGTCTGAGAGTCTCCTGTGATCTCCATCCTCTCCTCTCTTTACTCTAACGCTCGCTGTGTTTCTTCCCTCAGCGCTCCCTTCTCTGGGGGCTCTGCAACAGGCTGACTCCCACTCTCTCCTCCCACTCTCTCCTCCCACTCCTACCTCCCACTCCTACCTCCCACTCCTACCTCCCACTCTCCTCCAGCCGTACCCCAGCGTGGGAGGCAGCGCGGCCCAGGACCAGAGCCTCTGGCTGGGCACACACACGCAGCGAGGGGCCCACAGCTCTGGAGCTTTGGCTTTCATTCCCCTCACCCACACACTCTCACACACACACACACACTCTCACACACACACACACACACTCTCACACACACATGCTGTACCCACAGAGACCTCTTTAATGATGTCATGTGCCTCACATCTGAAGGGGAAACACGTGGGAGTGTGTGGGCTGTGTGTGTGTGTGTGTGTGTGTGTGTGTGTGTGAATCATTGTTTTTGGTTTACATGAAAGGTGTACACATGTGCTGTCGGCTGCTGTACACGGCAGAGCTGGGTTATTTTTAAATCACAGCTACAGGGGAGGGTTGTGATCTAATGAAAGGACACTGAGGAGAGTCGTTGGTGGATGTTAGATGGAGGAGATGCATTGGAAAGTGTAGTATTTAATTAGAAGACACACTCGAAAAATGTAACAATGTGCAGAAGTGCTTAAAAAAACAACACAATTTAAGGCTTTCACTGCCATTAGATAGTTAATCCTATTTTATCAAACTAAATGTGGACACTGATGAGAGTGATGAATGGCTGTTAGATGTAGTAAATGCATTGGAAGGTGTAGTACTTTGTGAGAAGACACCGTGTGCAAAAGTGCATGAACAAAAACCACATAATCCCCACTTTTTCGTCATTCAAAATCAGAGAAGTTGTGTTTCCTACCTGCAGGACGGAGCTCTGGTTCTCGGCTGATGTGCTTCACGAAGAGTTGACTCTGTGAAAGCAGGTGTGAAGAGAAGCACGTCAGTCAAACACTCACACCTCTGTTCAACTAGAAATCGAGACAGCATCTCTCGTCTGAAGCTGATAGACTCGCTCTGTGAAACGCAGATGATATTCAGAAGGGCCAGATTGCTCATTAGAATATCTCACATTTGTGTGTGGGCGAGTGTTTAGCAGTCCTTCGACAGCGTCCCCACGATGTTCCAGAAACACTCTTCTTGTTCTGAGTCCAACAGGACGCTCACCCCAGTCTGTCCTCCCAAACTCATCCAAGATCCAACTTCTGTCCAACTTTCAGGACAATAAACGCTGTCAACTTTTTAATATCTACATACACTGCAACATAATCCCTTTCAATGCTCCGGGTGTTTCTATAAGTCCTGACATGCCGACGGGGGGATACTCAGGGACTGAAGTTCGAATGATACGCAAGAAATCAAATATCTGAATGTTGGACAAATACCACAATATCAAAATTGCGATGGTATTGTAGCGTTGACTATTAGTGCCTTTACAAAAAGAGTGATTTGCTAATTCTTCATCAGTAATGTGGATATAAGGACTTATGGGTAAAGGCATTATTAAAACAGTGACTTGCAGTCTTTAAAACAAGGAAAAGTACACTTATGCCACATCGCAATTATGACTTATTCATATTATGGTTACTTTATTCTTAATTGAATATGGTCCAAATTACATGAATTCCAAAAAGAGAAGATTTTATAGATTAAAGCTCATTTGCATATCCAAAATCGAAAACAACGTCTCATCATATTATCTATATGGATATGATATTGATATACTGCCTCACCCTGTCCCTGCACTTTGATTAAGATCATGTTATTGATCATATTGGAAATTTGACAATATATTGCATCAGATAACACTTTAGTATTATACCAGCACACACAGATGCACCAAGCAGTCTTAACGTTTATTACTTAATGTTAAATTGCTTTGGGTAAAAAACACATGCATCTTCATGATTTTACAATTTCAGATATATGATTAGTTTGAGTTAATTAGTCCTACTTCATGTCGAAAAGAACATCTATTGGATAATCTGAAGAATGCACTTATTCGTCGTAAAGAGTGGACAGTTTTGGAGATACGTGTTCCTCCACATGACAGCAGCAACAGGTGTTATGCAGTGTGACGTTTAAAGAGTTCAATCAGAGCCAAAAAGCCAGATGAATTATCAATTCTGCGCAGGGGAGAACAAATCCATATTGAATGCACTTTTAACACGATACCATGTTTTTCAAAATCTGCGATAATATGAATGAGCTAAATGGTATATCTATGTCTAAAAGATGATATTAATAATGAGGTCTGACTGCATGTGTCTCAGTGCCCCCTGTTGGACTGTCTCTCAGACTGAGCGCATGGTTTCAATTACACTCCTCTCAGACACAAAACATATATGAGTTTCTAATAAAACTAAAATGCTAAACGTTTTTTTTTTTTTTAAATGTCACTGTTATTGAATTTTCATCATGATTTAGCACGCTTTCTAAATCATTGATTCAAGTCTTTCTTCAATCAATCACAATAGATCAGTCACTCAAAGTGCTCTCTCTCTCTCTCTCTCTCTCTCTCTCTCTCTCTCTCTCTCTCTCTCTCTCTCTCCCCTCTTTACGTCTCTCTCCTCTCTTTGTGTCTCTCTCTCTCTCTCTTTATGTCTCTCTCTCTCTCTCTCCCTACTCTCTCTCTCTCCCCCCTCTCCCCCCCTCTCTCCCCCCTTGTCTATCCCAGAGTCATGGGGTCTCCCCCGGGGTAAACGCATTCCAAAACACAAGAATTTCCTCCAGCCCGACTCACATACCACCTCTCCCCCCCTCTCTCTCTCTCTCACACACACACACACACACACACACACACACACACACACACACACACACACACACACACACACACACACACACACACACACACACACACACACACACACACACACACACACACACACACACACACACATACCCGCTCGATGAAGACCACACACTGTTGCAACGGCATGTTCAACGCTCTCTCACACAAACAACTTCAACATAAAACCGATGCAGTTCAATCTAGTTATTCACAAAAAGCTAATACAGAAGACAACAGATTTCATTTAGTAAATCAACATTTTTGTTTGTGTGGGAATAATCACACTTAAACATTGTTTCCAAATCATGATCAATGTTAAATTGTAGTACCTGGATTCCTGGGTGTTGCGGAGTGAAATCAGTCGGTGTTCAGACTCCTCAGTCTCCTTCTGCTGGATCCGTCTGCTGCACACAAACACACACACACATCAGTGATACACACACACATCAGGGACACACACACACGTCAGCGACACACACACACACACCTCTCTGACGGCTGGAGGAACACAGCAAAGTTTCCGTAGCTGCAGATCTATATGAGCAGAGAGGAGGAGGCTCTATAGCTGTTGGCAGCAGCTCTCCGTCCCTTCACTGGCTACATATCCACCTTCAGCCGCAGGAAACCCCCCCCGGCGCCCCCTCATTGTTGCGGGACCGTCCCCATATTGAGCACAAAACCCCGCGGAGACTCATGTGTGGAGAGTGATGAACACATGGTGCACACAGAGAGAGAAGGGGAAGGAGAAAGAGGGTCTATAGTAGAGTAACGCTCTATACAAAACAAGATTCCCCCTCTATCTGTGTACGAGCAGAATCAGAATCCCCTAATTGAAATGTACATCAAACTACATTGATGTAAGCGTGCAGAGAGTCTAACAGACTGATAAGGGAAAGGAGAAAGCGGACATTTCTATATTAGAGTAAGAAACAGCGTGATCTGATTTCCAGAATCAGAATCCCTTATTCGTCCCACAGACCAAACGATATTGATTTAATACTTGCTCTATAATAATGCAACGTTTATAAAGTAAATTAACAAGCCTAATATGTGATAATCATCATATTGTCAGCAAAAAACGCTTCCATTAATACATAATCAATTTCCTTCCTCTTCCTTTCACCTGACAATAATCACCTCTCCGCCTTATTCGCTTTACAAAACCCACAATTTCCGCTTCATAATTTCTGTCTTTGTTTTCGAGCAGAATCAGATGCACTCTTTCTATTTCCTTGCTGTGCGCCAAGGTTTTATACATAACGTAGAAATGGTTCCCTAAGTAGGACACTTTACGGGTTCTTCAGCAAACTGAGCATTTCAATTTCAATCAAAGACCAACAGGTGAATCCGAAAGGACGGCTCCACAAAGACATTCTCAGATCTTCAGCGTGTTTTTAATTTGATGATTTGTGCAATTGTAATTATTGGGAACCCTTGTGTTATCGCACCACGATTAAAAAGCTCTTCAGAAACATAGTAATGCTCTTTAAGAACAATTTGGCATTATCGTAAAACCCTTTTTTATCACCGGCGTCTTTTTCCTAATTTGCCGTTTTCTCTGATCACAGAGTGAATCGCTCCAGACACAATATATTCACAACTGAATTTAAAACATGCAACTATGAATAAGCTACGATCGTGACACATTTCATGCTTTCTAATTCACATCAGCGTGTTTTCAGATATGTTTTCAGACTGTTTCACCCTGTCTGCTGTTCTGTTTCTCTTTGGGGGGAAATACACCTGCAGTGGGGGGTGTACCTGCTCTCTTAAATTCATGCATTTGTAACATATTTCCTTTGAAATGTGCGCCCTGATCTGCTTTCTCTCTCTTATCACTCTCAGTCTGAGAGAGTGAGAGTGTTTCACAGCAATCTGGGAAATCATCAAATGTTCTGCGCGTGTTTTTCTGTCTGGAGACGCTCTGAATATATCACCATGACTGGGCTTCATATCGTGAAAATTCCCTGAATAAATTAGCGTGCCCACTCCTTCTCTCTGATCGGGTTATGAGTGCAGCGATGACCTCACTTTCGGGTATTTGGGATGGGTATTTCTTCAATGTACACTTCCCTGAAATATTGTGCATTTACTGCTTTCTTAGATGAATGAATTTAACCCTTTACAGGAAGGGTTACCTCTTCTTGTCACATGACGTAAGAGGCTGTAATGTAGGAGTGACAATCAGAATCAAACCGTGATTTCTTCATATTTGACAGCATTTTAAGCTGCGTTTCATTAAATTAGTCGTCTGATCAACTGATTTATCTACAGACATCATAAGATTGTCTAACAAAACTCACATTTTCCATTTCATTTTTCACTTTCTCTGTCCACAGAATTAGACGCAGTCTCTTTTTCGTTGCTGTGCGTGAAGGTTTTATGCATACAACAAAGAAATGGCTGTGAAAGTAGGGGTCAAGGAGCTTTCAGAAGTCCTTGAAAAATGTCCAGGAGGTCCTTAGAAAACATAACAAAAGCTGCGTTTGATTGAAATCGCTCACATTTCTTTGGTCGTTCGATAAACTGACGTGAATCTTTCCTATCCACTGAATCAAGGAGGCAAATTCACCTTTTCAAAGTATCTTCCCGTTTAAACCTTTAAATACATTGTTGCTTATAATGGGTTTTCAGATATAACATAACCCTAACCCTAACCCTAACTAATACTTGGATGCTTTTTGAGCCAAATCAATCCATTGGACATGGTGAATCCAGTAAATGAAAGGTGAGTCATTTGAGAAGAGAAGATAATAATTAGTTGTACGCTTTAGAAAACACTCATAAATGAACTCTACTGTAGATGTGGTTTTTTTTCTCCATTACAAACACTAATTTACAATGAGCTCGATTTGTAAGACGTGCAAACTGATCGGGGGTAATCCCTCACTTTTCTGTATTGATCTGACTGTGAGTGAGCAATATTGACACACACACACACACACACACACACACACACACACACACACACACACACACACACACACACACACACACACACACACCAGAGCCTCAGTTTGACCTGCAGTCTCTGAACTGTTTTCTGTCTGCTCGGACGCAGACGACAAACATTGTGACGAAATGTCAGCGCCGCGATACCGGCCTCTCTTTGAAGTGGGAGATAAAGACGTTTTTTTTACAAGGGCATGTTTTCACATTCGGAGCTTTTTGATAAGGCGTTGTTACGTGCACGGTTTTTCTGCAGAATCGAAAACACTCATGTGGATGCATTTGCTGCAAACATGGAAGAGTTTGACGTCTCTTTGCGCTCGTTCCCAGCCTGATTGAGTTCCTGTAGTTTCTGAGCTGCTTTATTTCAAATCCTCTTTCAAGATTTGTACATGCCTTAGTCCTGGTTGATCTTTTACACATGTAGCTTTTTAAAATGCCGCTGCGTCACTCTCGGGGAATGTGTCACTTGCAGAATTTCCCTCTGAGTGATTTGTGGTGTTTTCTTTTTGAGAAAGTGAAGACAGTAGCGTAGAGTCACTCTGGTTTACCAATCGAGGTGATTGGTGCTCCGCAAAGGCCACTGTACCTCCACCAGTGTTTCAGCGCTGGGATGTTGGTGTGTGTGTGTGTAAGTGTGCGTGTGTGCGTGTGTGTGTGTGTGTGTGCGAGTGCGTGTGTATGTGTGTGTATGTGTGTGTGTGTGTGTGTGTGTGTCAGGCAGAGGTGTAGTGTTTTCACTGTCTCCTCCCTGGGAATTCCCCTCTGTTCCAAACAGCCTGCTGGAGCCGCAGCTGTACATATGTGTGTGTGTGTGTGTGTGTGTGTGTGTGTGTGTGTGTGTGTGTGTGTGTGTGTGTGTGTGTGTGTGAGAGGATGTATACGCTCTGTAGAGTTCTAGTGCATGTGTAGGCATGTGCACGCATGTGTGTGTGTGTGTATGTATGTGTTTCCTCCCTGATTCCCAGGGTTCTGCCGAGTTAAACCCTCTTAAATGTCCCCCTGGCTTTTGTCCTCACGTTTCAGCTGAATTTCCCCGCATTCATCCCACCATTCAGACTCTGTGTGTTCGAGCGCTCAGGAATGCACTGGGTTTGACAGGCGCCTGAACTGTGTGTGTGTGTGTGTGTGTGTGTGTGTGTGTGTGTGTGTGTGTGTGTGTGTGTGTGTGTGTGTGTGTGTACATGCGTGTAAATGAGCATACAACAGAAAGAAAGACTTTGGGGAAAAAGGGAGTGGATTTTTTTCTTTTCTCAAACTCCTTTTGAAGGTGGACTCAGACACACACAATCACCTTACCTTTGCACACACATACTTTTCACCTTTCTGCACACACACACACACACACACACACACACACACACACACACACACACACACACAGACACACACTCTCAACACCCACACACACACTCGGAGTCACATGTGCTCTCACTCAAAGAGAGCTCTGCACCCACTCACCCTGACACCCACACAACCACCCACACACTCACGTGCACTGCCAAATAGCTCTCACTCTTAACCCCCCCTCCCACACACACACACACGCACGCACGCACACAAACACACACACACACACACACACACTCTAAGTGCCGGGCATGTGCCTGATCTGGTTTCCTCTTTGCTTTGCGAGCGACCCGCGGTGATAAAATAAACACAAATACGTGATAATCACATTCCAGACATTTCTCTCCTGCCGGTGGGAAGTTTCAACTGGTTTTCAGCAAGAGTTGGTTTCACTGAGTGTGTGTTTGGGTGTGTGTGTGTGTGGTGTGTGTGTGTGTGTGGTGTGTGCAACGCCGGAGAGAAAAAAGGAGAAATGAGTGAGAGAGAGAGAGAGAGGGAACAAAGAGATCTGGGGCGAAGTCTCACACATTCCTCAGTCCTGCCAATATCCTACCAGTATACTAGACCATAACAGCTCTACACACACACACACACACACACTTACAGTATATACACACACACACACACACACGGCAAGAGACAGCTCGATATGAATAAAATCTCCTCATTTGCACTGCATCTGTGGCATCAATCTAACATGAACAATTCCACTTTTCTTCTTACTTTTTTTGCAAATAATATCATGCAACATTTAACTGAAAAGCTGAAACTGAAAAGCTGAAATGCATGGGATTTAAAAGCCTGAAAAGTGCACAGAACAGTACAAGCAAAGACAAATGAAATACTTATCAGATTAGACAGTCCTACCTTGTGTAAAGTGATGTGTGTTGCAGAGAGAGGAAGAGGAGGCAGTGAGGAAGAGTCTGAATGATAAACGTACCTGAGCACATGTTCACTTCCTCCGTCAACACGCTTTGTTTCTCCTCCTCTTCGCGGCTGCATGCTTCTCCTCCATCCGTCCGTCTGTCTCTCTTCTTCTCTGTCTCCCCCTTCCTCTTCCTCTCTCCCTCCTCTTCCTCTCTCCCTCCCTCTCTCTCTCTCTCTCTCTCCTCCCCTCTCGTTCTTTACAAGCCCTCTCCTCTCCCCTCTCTGCGGCGCTCTTCAAACTTCTCTTTTCCTGATAATCAGATAAAATAAAAACACAACTCGTCCCTCATTTCTCTGCTCCTCGCTCTTCCTCTGAGGCTCAATGAACTTGTGTGAGTGATCCATGAACGCACTCTTAACTAGAACTCTCCTCCTCCCACGCCGCATGGTGTGCGTGTGTGTGTGTGTGTGTGTGTATACATTTATATATGTGTGTGTGTGTGTGTGTGCGTCGCCAGTCATTCCCCTCGACACATGTCCTAAAATTGCTTTCCCTATTAGTCTGTCTTTCATTTAGCGCAAACTTTCTTTTCATTTTTCGCTCTCTTATTCAGTCACATACACACACACACACACACACACACACACACACACACACACACACACACACACACACACACACACACACACACACACACACACACACACACACACACACACACACACACACACACGCACACACTTGACAATAGCATCCAAACCCTAGTTCACACCTGCACATTAAAACAGGAAAATCTCAGCAGTGTCCTCCGAAGAGACGCTAGAGATAGAGAGACGGAGGATGTGACAGACGGACAAAAGGAGGAGGGGGAGGAAGGCGACAGAAAATTGGTGGAAAACGCTGCAAACAGCCTTCTAACGAGCTCATGAAGGAACAGAAAACTGGTGTGTAAATGTGTAAATTCATGTGAATATAACAGCACAGACTCACTATGAAGCGTGCCGTTCTCAAATGAATATGAATTAAAGCAGGGGGGTTTGATTGTAAGCTTTACAGGGGTTTAAAGCAGTGTTTGGTGTCATACCAGCAGACTTGAAGCAATGAAATGGAGAAAAGACAATGTGATCCAACCTTAAAATCATGTTTATATTCCACCAAATGATGGAGATGGAGATGGAGATGGAGATGGAGATGGAGGCATGGCCATCTGTACAGTTACTTTCTAAGAATGTCTGCAGCACACACGGCTCATGTGATTGTGTTGCAATAGTTTATAATATGATTACTTCACAAAGTCATGTTCACCATCTGCAAGAGGGTAGCAGTCCATTTGCAGATCATCACTTCTGTCTCTAGAAATTACATTATGCATTTTCCAGTTATCTATAATCGTGAATAATGTTTTTTTGTGTCTTCAGAAAAAGCCAAGGGAATAAATCCAGCGCTGTGATTGGTTGAACTCTTCTCCTTCTTCTTTTGGTTATTGGCAGGGAACAGGCGTGGAAATATTGCTACTGCTTTTCTCTGTTTTAAACCTTATTACTGAACCATTTGTTCAAACTCTCAAGGCTTTGCCAGCTTTAAAATAACCAATATTAGCTGCACATTTTGATGCCAAAATGTTTAAGCTTTTGGCTCAAAAACATTTTGGTTAAAGATTTTAACCAAATATTCACGTGTCAGTATAGTGTCTCTACTTTAAAGAGTCCTCTCCTGCTGATGTTCAGGTGTATATCAGTATGTAGTGTCTCTACTTTAAAGAGTCCTCTCCTGCTGATGTTCAGGTGTATATCAGTATGTAGTGTCTCTACTTTAAAGAGTCCTCTCCTGCTGATGTTCAGGTGTATATCAGTATGTAGTGTCTCTACTTTAAAGAGTCCTCTCCTGCTGATGTTCAGGTGTATATCAGTGTGTAGTGTCTCTACTTTAAAGAGTCCTCTCCTGCTGATGTTCAGGTGTATATCAGTATGTAGTGTCTCTACTTTAAAGAGTCCTCTCCTGCTGATGTTCAGGTGTATATCAGTATGTAGTGTCTCTACTTTAAAGAGTCCTCTCCTGCTGATGTTCAGGTGTATATCAGTATGTAGTGTCTCTACTTTAAAGAGTCCTCTCCTGCTGATGTTCAGGTGTATATCAGTATGTAGTGTCTCTACTTTAAAGAGTCCTCTCCTGCTGATGTTCAGGTGTATATCAGTGTGTAGTGTCTCTACTTTAAAGAGTCCTCTCCTGCTGATGTTCAGGTGTATATCAGTATGTAGTGTCTCTACTTTAAAGAGTCCTCTCCTGCTGATGTTCAGGTGTATATCAGTATGTAGTGTCTCTACTTTAAAGAGTCCTCTCCTGCTGATGTTCAGGTGTATCAGTGCAGTTTTTCACTTTGAGTTGCTTGAACATACCTTTAAAATGTCAACAATGCTTCAGTTGCTACAGCGGATATTATAAGGAGAGCTAATGCAACATGTTACTAAACATGTCAGTAACATGTTGCGGAAATGAACAAATGTTTCCTCGTCAACAGATGATGTTCCCATGCTGCTCTGAGCTCATCTCCAGGGTTTCGAGCCAGAGCGGGAACAATGTAGTCTTCATTAATTAGCCCAGTCTTACAAAATGAGTGACATATGAGTGAACAACACACTGTGCATTGACTAGCGTAGCAGCTTTAAATACATCCACCTGTCGCTGATCACGTGACCCTGAAGAAGACACAACATTTGTATGAATGCACGTCTGACCACATGAAGACGTGCCTGCTGTGACTTCTCATTTCCTCATTATGCTGATGATTGTGTTCCCATCACAGCATGTTGCTACTGAGCGTATATATGATCACAATTCTTAGAGAACAAGGTCGTAGTTTCCTGTGCTCTTAAACATAACCGACTGGAAATATTGTGCAATTTCTTTCATGATAAGCATCTGACATTATCGCTCCTCTTGCCTGAATGCATACATCGTTGTAGCAGAGTGTGTGCTAATTCAAATCAGCATAATGATACATCGCTCTGAGTGGCTGTCTATTATCTGCAGCAAACTGGACTTGGTTATTATTGCACTTTGCTTTAATGAAACCCATTCAGCTCTTTTGTTCTGGAGGTCAGAGCTCCAGAACAACCAGGTCCCACTAATGCATGTGATTTCTATAGACTGTATGAACACATTTTGAACACATCTAGTTTTTTCTTTAATAATAATAAAGCTTTATTTATATAGCACTGTTCATACAGCACATGCAGCTCAAAGTGCTTTACACCATGACACATCACACGTTAAGAGATTCTCCTCAGATTATTTGTTAAGAACTTTAATGCAGTGAAATATAACATGTTATCAGGTTAACAGACACAGGGAGGTCAAAGGTATGATAATACAAACACAAATAAATAATGGTTTCTCTGACAGATAAGAGACAAGACGACTGAGTCCATGCAACAATATAATATCAAATATACAACCCCATAAAACTAAGTGAACATACTGTATAGGTACAACAGAAATACAAATGCCATAATTCTAATAAAGGTTAAATGATTAAGAAATAAAAAAGACAAATGTAAAAAGAAATAATTGCTATTGAAGCATGTTAGATTAATAAAATAAGATAACATCCACGCACGCACGCACACACACACACACACACACACACACACACACACACACACACACACACACACACACACACACACACACACACACACACACACACACACACACACACACACTCTTCCCTGCGATCCAGACAGTTTCCGTGCACTGAAAGTGAGAAAACACACACGTGTGTTGACGTTGCAATCACAAATTCCAAACGTGGTTTGGAGGGGCAGCTCTGAGATGAATGTTGTCCACGATCTGCCGTTGTCTTTTCCACTCCCCTCCAAAATATTATCCCATGTTTCCACCGGCTCCACAATATTTAGGAAGGGAAGTGGACGGGGGAATCTGGGTGCTGCTGTGTGTGAAGGACGGCAGTCACAGTCCAGAGAGAGAGTGTGTGTGTGTGTGTGTGTGTGTGTGTGTGTGTGTGTGTGTGTGTGTGTGTGTGTGTGTGTGTGTGTGTGTGTGTGTGTGTGTGTGTGTGTGTGTGTGTGTGTGTGTGTGTGTGTGTGTGTGTGTGTGTGTGTGTGTTATTTTGACGGGCTGATCATTTGTGCGTCTGGTCTGACGTCTGAGAGAGGGAATTACACTGTAATGTCACATAATAAGTACATTTACTCAAGTACTAAACTTAAGTACACATTCGAGGTACTTGTACTTCTATTGTACTACTTTATACTTTTATTTTCTACATTTTGGAGGCAAATACTGTACTTTTTACTCCTCTACAGCCTTAGTTACTTTCCAGGTTCAGATTATTTGCTAATACAACATATATATAGAAAGAACAAGTGTTCCTTTTTCATTAATAACCGCCTCGTCGCACACTATCCCTTCCAATATGATCCTGAAATGTACTTTTCTGCATGCTGAGTACTTTGACTTTAAGTACTTTTACTTGAGTAAAGATCTTAATCACAGGATTTAACTTCTACTTTGACTCAAGATATCAAATATCTGAGTACTTCTTCCACCTCTGTAGCAAACGGTGTTTTGTCCCAGAGTCCAAACTAAACCTGGAGAAGAAGCGTTACGTTATTAAACTCCATTTATGTGGAAAGAAATACCAGAAAACGGCGAAATCCTTTCAAATAAAGACTGCAGACTTTTCTGTTTGCTGCCTTGTATTAAATCAAATACTTATTTATACCTTAGACTGCACGTTGCATTTTCTTCTTGCACTTTCTACCTGACTTCTTTTATTTGAGCTTGTATCTTCACACTTTAAATGTTTTGTGTAAAGCACTTTTGGATCGCCTTGTGATGAAATGTACTATATAAATAAACCTGCTTTGACACCGATGTACACAGCGCGGAGAAATTAGACTTAATGTTCTGAAAATATAGAGAAAGATACGTCGGGTTGATTCCTAATGTTTAATTCAACTGCCCACATCCCCCAACCATCACAAGTCGAGTGATTTCATCTTGCTTTTGTGCGTCAGATTATAAACCGGTTGGGTCCAGCCTTTTCTGCTGAATGACCATCCGGCGTGCCCACCTCCTTCTTCTTCTCCCCCCCGCCAGCTGTGTGTGTGTGTGTGTGTGTGTGTGTGTGTGTGTGTGTGTGTGTGTGTGTGTGTGTGGGAGTGTGAGGGTGAAGGAGGACCACTCTGCGTGGGCTGAACAGTGCCTGGGTTTTCTCTGCTCGGTGTTAATAGGCCTGTTTCTCCCCTCAGCGGGATGCAGAGAGCTGTCATTTACATGGAGGTAATGGAGTGATGTAGAAGTGGATGGAATATGTGTGGGCGAACGATG